GTACTAAATAATAACTTTTTAAAACGAGATAAGTAAATCCGTATAAAATAAAAACTCTCAATGAATTTCTAAGATTTTTTGAAAAAATTAACAAAATTTAATGCATAAAAATTAAAGAAAAAAAATAAAAAAAAATCATTCAGAAATCTGATAACAAGTTTTGGTGCTTAGTAACGATTAACTTACATACATATTTGTGTGTATGTTTGTACGAGTTTGCATATAAATCTGCACTAGCTTTGAAAAAATATTTTTCATTTTGCGCAGCGCGGCCAACTTCTTTAATAAAAGATTTTCAGAATTTTGTGATTTGAAATCAATTTTTTCCCTTGTTTATTATTTAGTTTCATTTAAGTTAAATTTTTTCTTTGTAATTTTAACACAATTGCTTTAACAAAATTTTTTTTTATTATTTAATATTATTCCTTATATTTTATAAAAGTTTTTATTTTTCTAGTTTATTTTATATGTATATTATTTAATTTTTTAATTTTATTTTATTCCAATTAATTTTTATTTCTTATCTAATTACATTTTCTTTTGTTGTCCTGTATTCCAATTTATTTATATTTTTGTATTTTATTTATTTTCTTATATTTTATTGCATTTTATTTTATTTATTTTTATTATTATGCCTTTTATTTATTTTAATGATGTTTTCTTTTACCGCTTTTTATTTAATTTAATTTATTGCTTTTTGTTTTATTTATTAATTATATCATATTTGAATGCATTTTATTTATTTTACTGTCTTTCATTTTAATCTATTTTTATTGTATTGTAGTTTATTTTATCGCATTCTGTTTTACTTTATTAGTTTATTTTATACATTTTATTTTATTTGGGCTTATATTCTTTGTTCTGTTATATTTTATTGCACTTTATTTTGCTTTGTTTTATTTTTACTTTTTGCATTTGCTTATTTATTATTATTTTATTTTTATTTTTGTTTTATCGTTACTTTTGCTTTAATTAAAATTTGTATTTCAATTATTTTATCTTGTTTCATTTTTACTTTTTTGCTTTTTAATGGTTATTAAATATATTGCATTTTATTTGATTATATTATTACATTTAATACAATGAAAATTTTTATTATTTTTATTTATATTTTTTTACACTATTATATTAAATTTAATAAATTTATTTTATTTTATTTGCTTTTTATTTTATAATTACTTTTAATTTAATTAAAATTTTTATTTTATTTGTTTTATTTATTTTCTGTTTTTACTTTTTTTGGAATTAATTTTGTTTCATTTTTACTTTTTGTGTTTTTTAATTATTATTATTTATAATTTATAATTTAATTAATAATTTTATTATTGCATTTAATTTAATTAAACTTTTTATTACATTTATTTATATTTTTATCTCACTTTAAATTTAGTTTTATTTTAATTTATTTATTATATTAATTTAATTTAATAAATTTATTTTATTTGCTTTTTATTTTATCATTACTTTTATTTCAATTAAATTTTTTGTTTAATTTATTTTATTTGGTCCTATTTTTACTTTTTCGGAATTAATTTTGTTTCATTTTTACTTTTTTGCTTTTTAATTTTTTTGTTTTTTATAATGCATTTTATTTGATTTTATTATCACATTTGTTTTGCATTTTAATTAATTTGTTTTAGTCTTATATTTTTAATTTAATTTAATTTTTTTTTATTTTATTCGCAGTTTTTTATATTTTTTAATTGTTTCTTTCCCTTTTTCGATATGTAAGTTTTCTAACCGCACAAACTTCATTTTAACGATCCCCTGAAACCGTTGCAGCAAATTTAGATGACCAACGACAATAAAAAATAAAGGCAAAAATAAAAACTCAAACATACATATGTGTGTATTTATAAAAAAAATGTTCAACTTTATTTCGCATTTCTGTCTTTAAATAAATTACAAAAATACGTTTTATAGTTGTATTTAATTTTATATTAATTATTTGTATATTATTATAAGCAGCTTCAATCAAATATGCAGAAAATATTCAAATCGTAGTACGATCGTAGGTAAATTGTATTTATTTATATACTCGTATGCATGTATCTATGTATGTAGGCAAATTTATTGGCATTTTCATATATGCACAAACATACATACTTAGTATTTAATATGTAGCATTAGGCAAAATGTGTTCTTTTCTGTACATATGTATAATAAACTGTAAACATATCTATGTACATAAGTATTTATATAAAAAATATGCATATGTACATACATATATGTATATGAAAAATATAACAAACATATTCATGTATATTACGCATATTCATATAAAACTTACAAACGAATTTAAATAAAAAATATACACATCATATTCATACATAGTATAATATACATACATATATTGTATTTATAATTATAAGGACTAAATGCTAAAGAAAAAAATTAAATTAAATTAAAAAATAGAGAATTAGCAGAAAAGGGACGTACTTTTTACAAATGCGTTATACGTATATCGTATGTATATATGTATGTATGTATGTATGTATGTAGGTATTTTATGCTTTATTATATGAATGTATGTACTTGAAGATGTGTTCAACGCTTTTTAACTTTGATTGTTTTTAATTTCGAAGAAGAATTTTATTTTCAATGAAGACTTTTTGTTATCATTTCAATTTACAAACACTTCCCTTACAATTTATATATGAAAATTTAATTATTTGCAACATTTAATAAAAAATCGTATTTATAAGATTGCTTACAATGCTAATTCGTGGCAACTATTTCCCATTTAATATAATTTTAATTATACATAAATTATGAATTTACGCTTTTTTTTTTTAAATATATTTATAGATTTTTATGTTGTAGGAAAAAAGTAGTTAGCTTGAATAATGTTTACAAATATGCTTATAGATTTTCATTCATTTTCAATTTAATATCGATAATCTAAATTTATACAGACAGTTAAATTGCATTTAAAAATCTTGTTTTAATTTTTTAATATTTATTTCTATATATAATATAAGTATATATATATATATATATATTGTTTTTCATTTTCTACTATTATTATTTTGTTTGTTTCTTTTTTATTTATTATATAATATATTTATTTTATTATTAATATATATATATGTATATATATCATGTTTTGCTGGCACTTTAAGTGCAGTTGTTTCTTTAACTTTTTCGAGTATATTAATACTATAAAGTTCAAATAGTGTGTGCAATCAGTTTTCAAACTGTGAAACGTTCTTTTTCTTTCTATTTTTCGAACTAATGTATATATGTACGTATTAGTTGTTGATTATTTTATGTTTTATTTCATTTAAAAATAAATTATTTTATTAATTTTTTATTTATTTAATTATTTATTTCTTAATCAAACAATTTTTTTTAATACATTTACATTTTTTTGTGTTTTTTTTTTAATAAATGTGCATATTTATATTTTTGATTTTTTTTTTGTTCATAAAGAATGTAGCCAAAGTGTTTTAAATAGACACGAGTGAAACGTTATATGATATAAATATACATGGGTATGCATTTATGCAAGAGAGAACTTATTTTAATTCAACAGTTTGCAAGAAAATATATATACAAATATATATATATATATATATATCTATAACATGTAAGAAAATTTAAAGAAAAAATTAAAATAAATATTTGTATGGCTCTAGCACGTGAAAAAAATGATTTTTGTATTCCCACTGAGTTTAGGGTTCTTTTAGAAAGCGAAATTTCATTTAAACACACTTAATTACACAAACTTATTGCTCTCACATTTGTCTCGAAAAAAAAAACACTTCAGCAGGAAAAAATATATATTTTTTAAAAATTTATTGATTGTGTCTTTCTATCATACAAACAAAAAAGAAATAATTAATGTCGAAATAACTTAATTAACTATGTGTGCACATATGCAAAAAAAAAAAAAAAATTAAATCAAAATTCAACATTTTTATACATTGAATGATTTTGGAAATATTTCTTAATGCAGTATTAATTTAATAATTAAAATTTCTTCATAAAACAGTGCACTCTCGTTTTCCATTGCATTTTTTCTTTCCTTTTTAATGAAATTTTCAAAATTGTGCAAAAATTACACATTCGTATAATACGCGCGTTTTTCCTACGTATTAAGCAAAAGATATAACAATACATTCATAAAAGCTTACTGCATTTACACACACACGCACACACACATACACACGTGGTGCATACACTAAAAATTAAATCTTAATTTATTAGTTATATTTAATTTTAAGTGTTTTTCTATTTTTAAATATTCACTATATACTAGTTCTTGTATATATGTACAAAAGAGAAGGAGGGATGGAAGTATGTACAGCAAAAAAGCATTTCATTTATTAGAACGCAAAATACGTTATATGTACATTGCATTTAACAAACCCCTTACACCACCATTTGGCAGAGCGGCTACTATGCACTATGGGTTTATGTAAATGTATGTTTGTATATGCTATTCTTTTTATTTAATTTACTTTACCTAACAGAACTACAGTCAGTCAATCAGTCAGTTAAGTTGTCAGTCGTAACGACATACACACAGCTATCATACATATACATATATTTCTTAATAATATGAATATTATTATTTTTTTTTTTTGATTTTTCGTTTACAAAAACTATTAACACAAAGTACATTTACGAAAATACATACAAGAGCCGCAGTACGAATTGAGGCAGACAAAGGTAGCCATGCAGCTGCAATGATGAATTGTCAATTAATATTATTGTTGTAGCGGCAATTCTCACCTACGCTCGCCACACAAAAACTGTACTTAATATTCTTAATTGATATTTACTTGTATGTATATATGTATATTTAGTATGAGTAGTAAATATTTATTATTTTATTTTATTTTATTTTGTTTTTGCATTTGCTTTTTTAATTTACTTTATGCATTATGCAAGTAGCAGCTTTCAGCAACAGGCAATTGGTGTTTTTTTCTTGCTTCTTTGTCTCTTTCACAATACTTGCTTTGTATTTGTATTTAGATTTTCATGAAAAACCTTTCTCACAATATACCATTCGTATAATATTGATAGCCATCGTATAATTTTGTGGAGAGACTCTTCAACGAATCCTGTACGAGTTGTTCGACTTTACGCTCCATTTCCTGTTCGGTTAAATTCATATGGAAACGTTTACGGAGATTCTGTACAGTGCCAGAGCAACCATTTTTGAAGCAGGGCAATTGTGCATCTGAAATTAAAAAAGAAAATTTTGTTTATACAAATTTGAAAATTTTTTTTTTTATTACTGATGGGTTACTTACTGCTTCGCATTATTTCCACAAAATTAATAATTCGATCCATATGTTTGCGTGCCGTCATCATGCCGACCAGCAATAGATGATTAAACTCCTTCCATAGTTCGGAGTTTGTGCCACCCATGACGTCAACGAATTCGGGTGTTAACTTAAATGGTGATTGTTCGAAACCTGAAAGCGGGAAATTAAAGTGTGAAATAAGTTGCAGAAATAAAAAATTAAGTATTTAAAATTTTAGTTATTTTGAAGATTAAAAATAGGCTTTGCTGTGGACTCCGAAAGCTTCTTCAAAATTAAAATCACTTTGTTTCTTCAACAGAGTTATATATTTTCACTATCTTCTGACAAGGATACGGCTACTAACGGCTACTCGATTGTGTCGTCTGGCCATTATATTGACAAGCTTTTTACTTCCTCACGTTTGGGCACTTAAGACTACCATTAAGAAACCCAAGGCGATCTTTTTTGTCGGTTAAATGAGCTAGTACTGCCTTGACTAGTGACTGCGAATAACATTCGCCGTCCTACACTCCTACCGCGGTCTAACAAAGCCCAAATAAGGAAGCTGCAGACCCGTACAAACACAGCATTGAGAACTGTCGTATGTCGCCTGTGCACCACTTTCAGAGAGAGACATAAAAGCAACTTTAAATAGATCTGCTTTCAAGGTGCATCAGGAGCGTCGTCGACAAAGTGACATCCATATCCGATAGCCGAAAAAATTTTTGGGCAACTGGTGCTTCCTAGCCGCTACAACAATAATAACGCGGCATACATCAACATAGCAAGAACGTCAGCCATTAGCGGGTAAGGAATTTCTGTTCATTTTTTTAAATACTAATGTCCTGAGGACTGTTTACTTTTTAGACACCTCCTAAGGACAGACACTCAACCCTTCGTAGAGCCCAGAACAACCAGACTAGTCTTCACCCGAAATATTTCTACTTAATAACGCCATTACACCCAAGACGTAATCTGAGCTTTCCAACGAATCTTGTTTTTTGGCATATTCTATATATGGATATTACCGCAAGTTTAACTTAAAGCTTTCAACTTATTCCTGGATGTATCGCAGATATATCTTACATATCGACCGCTATAGTAGAGTGGATAGAAGTGAGTTTTACTATGCGTTGGGTGGTAGACTCGAAAACTCGCCAGACCTCGCCAAAATTATAAAAGTTTTCTTTTCTTTTAAGTGCGGTTGCTCCGACGCAGGGAGTGTCAACCAATTCAAGAATATATTTTCGATGTGAAACCCTAAGACTCATGGCAGAAATTTGGACGGAACTCGACCGGGAATCATTTAAGCAATTATAAGCGCTAATTACATACATATATAAGCCGTTAAATATATAATTGGCGCTTTGTAACAGCTGAAGCGATTTTCAGCCGAGCCCCTCCTTCAGTTTTTGGTTTTGCGTCTCGATCTTTTTTTCAATAATAGGTGGAATTTTAGTTTATATTAAGCCGCCTCCACAGGCTTATTCCGTTAACAGTTGGAGACAGTTAATTTTTTCTTCTAATATTGTTGTTTTTACTTACCCAAATTCTTTGGCGATATGCTTAGTATAAAACCAAAGTCAATATGTATAATATGCCCATCTGAATGCAGTAAAATATTGCCATTATGCCTGAAGTAAATACGAAAAGTAAGAAATTTAATTTAATTTATTAAAGAACAAAAACTATTTAGCATCAATACTTACCGGTCTTTCACTTGCAATAAATACGATATCAGACAGTAAGCTGCACAACTCTGTACAAAATTCTTCTGCGCTGTACGGAATAGTTCGCCATCTGGCGAGCCATACTCATCGATGAAATAGTCGCGTAATGATTTATTTGAATTCTTTTTGATTTGATGTAACGATACAGTATTGAGGATTGGTTCGATGAGACCGCTGTCATTTGATAAGCAAACGATTTTATACGGACGCACCCAGAGATCGACATGTTCCTCTTGCCAAATGATTTTGAACATCTAAAGAATAGAGAACAGCGAAATAAATATATATGTATGTACAACAATTTTAATGGTTGTATTTTTCTTCCTTGTTTGAGATATACAAACCTGCAAAAGCTGTGTTGCCATAAGCTCCTGACGCAAATCGTCGCCACATTTGACTATAACCGACAGCAAACGCCAATTGGAGAGATGTCCATAAGGCGATGACTCGCGTATCTGTTGCTCCTTTTCATGCCAGGGTTCCTAAAAATTTACCAAACATTTTTTTTTTTCTTTAAAGAAGTTCGTAATTTTATGATTCTTTACACGCCTACCTTCAGAGCAGCCGCTGATGGATCTTCCGGATCATTATTGAATGATTTTGTGTTCTCGCAGGTTAGATTATTGCAGTGGCGTGTGCGCACATCGCCAATATTAAAGAGCACGGGCATACCTAAAGAGAAAATAAGTGTTACATAATAATTTTGAATTGATCCCAGTTGCTATATATTATATTTACCTTGATCTCTCGAATCGCACGAGTCCAGCGACATTTGTGATATGGCATCACGTTCACTCAGTTTTCGCAAATGCATATATTGTGCGGTGATCTCGTCATCCTCCTGTGACCACACATCATCCTCTGTCAAATGTAGGCCACCCATTGTGGCACCCATTGCTTGTTGTGCATTGCATACATGCGCACCATCGCCGCCAGCGGCAGTTGAAGTTTGCGCATCCGATGCTACCGACGACGACGACTCCGAAAGCAATTTCTCCTTTTTACGGCGGCAACTGGAACTGGAGTTTGAAGCGTTTACTGCAGCAGCGCCACCATGTGAGCTACAACTCGAAGTACGACTGCAGCTCACATGATTGTGATTGCGCTGATGCAATTGGTGCGGATGACTGCAAGCACCTTCCAAGTGCTCCTCACTCTTGGTGTGTCGCAGTGATGGCATCATTTTCGGTATGAGTGGTGATGAGTAAATGTCGGGCACCTCAACCACTTCTACGTAAATAATGTACGGTGTCTTATCCTTGGAATTGAGCACCGCAGTCTTTTCCTCTGTTATGCGCACTACATGATGTGGAATGTCGGAAAATACGGGCAACCAGACGCGTGCCGGTAAATTCTTATTGATCAGGTTCAAGAACATGCGTAGCGCTGAGGTTTTCTCCGCCTTGGACGGTAGCGATGTGATATTTTTACCCACATTAATGAGTGCTTTCATGAACTCCTTCTCGGGTGCGGTTTTGGGTGCGTTGCATGAGCAAACAGTTTTCTGGCCCAACAAGCCATTGACCTGAAACGGTGAAAGAAGATTTTTTTTTTATTAATTTTGATCCAAACTATTGTTTATTCACGACGTTTGATTATCTTGTTTTTACGCACCTGTCCACGTACGCTGTCGAAGCAGGTGCAGCCATTGTCGAATGCCCGACCCGACGTTAGATCGCCAAGACACAGCTTGGGCGGTATCAGCGGTAGCGTTTGTGTAGTGTATGGCGGCTGTTGATAATGACGATTTGATATGCTTAATGTGATCGATGAGGGGTGGCGACGTGAATCACTGAATAATAGCGTGGCGTCGGATTGCGAGCGATGATGTGTCTTTTTCGTGAGCGGTGATACTGCTGCGACCGCCACAGTCCCACCCACAGCTGGAGGCAGATCCTTAGCATCCGATTTACTCAGTACTTTGCGTTCCTTTTTTGAAAAGATTTCCTTTAGCAGTGCCAACTGTGACTTACGTGTGCCGTTACCCAATGAGTCGAACTGATAGTTATAGGACTCCAGCAGCCAAAGACATTTCAATGAAAAATCGACAGACTTACGACAACGTATTGTCAAGTACGGATCGAGCACTTCGGCCAGCTCATCCATTTGTATGTACATAACGATTAGTTGTGGCATGTAAAGATCTACCTCTTGGTCGGGAAAACTGAATATTTTATTGCCAATAAAACTGAGCACACCGGGTTCTTTCGAATAGAATAGATAGTGTATAGCAAAGTGTATGTTGAAGACGGGAGATTCGAAAAATCTCAGCAGTCCACTGGGACCTTTTTCAGTCTTTTGCGTTTGCTCGTTGTTGGTCGGACGCTCCTTGATGAAGCACTTTACCACACCTGGCACTTTTAGTTTATTTAGCGAAGAGATGGAAGAAGATTTTGTAATTGCAGTGGACGAGGGGGAAGCGCCGAGGCCGGGTAGGGGAAGGTTAAGTGTACGTTCCACACATTCCGTAGCACCAATAGTACACTCTTTTTTCTTTTCCGCATTTTCCATCAGTGTTGGGAATTTCGGCTCAACTGGCGTCGTGTCAGCTGAAGGTGTAGCCGTTGGCGTATTCGCAGCGGATGCCTGCGTCGATGTAGCTGCCGCCGCCGCAGCTGCTGCAGCCGCGGCTGCTTTTTTAATAGGATTCGATGTGATTAAGCTGAAGAACTCCTTCTTCTTGGAAATATCAGTTGGTGACTTCACCTGGTCTGGTGCTGCACCAGCGCCACCACTATTGCCGGCAGCATTCTCATCAATTTTATTCTTTGCTGCATTCTTTTTCTCGTGATTCTCCCGTATACTTTGTGCGGTGCGAAAAATGGCATTCTTAGTGGCGCCAAAGAAGCTCTTCTTTGGTGGTTCCGCAGCTGCAGCAGTACTACTTGTGGCTTCTGCGGGCTTTTGCGCCTTTGTTGCCGGTGTCACTTGTGCGGCTACGTTGTTTGATGCTGTGTTCGGCTGCATTGTAATTGGTGTTGACGCGTCCACCGTATCAGCTGTGGGTGTAGCCAGATCGGCATCCAGCTCTGTAGGTGTATCATTATTTGCACGCTCCAAATTCAGCGCGGCCTGTGACATATTCAATTCACGATAACGCATACGTTCTGAAAGCTGTGCTGCTGCCTTGGCATCGATGTCGCCATCACTGTCACCACTAGCGGCGGCACCGATAATATCCGCATCGCTGAGCTCATTTTGCGGTTGTTTGTTGTGTCCACGCTGTTGTTGCATTTGTTTTTGTTTGCGCGACGGCCGTAAGGTGCGACAGTCTGTTTCGGCCGATTGATAAAAAATCAAATCCGAATGCAGTATACCATACTCCTCGTCCATCGAAGTCGTTTCGAGCATATCAATGCATTCCTCCTCGGCGTCCATTTCACCCGAGTCCAATGACTCGTGCGAGTGTCGAATGCGATTGAGGGAAAGCTGATCCGAGTCGGAACCACAAATTATGCCTTTTTTTGAGAAATGAAAAGAAAATGAATTTAGTTTTTGATTAATACTCAATTTTTTGATTGACAATTGGAAGTGTTTCAATGTATTGAATATTATTAAAAAAAAATATTAATAATAAAACTGAATTGATATATAATAAGAAAATGAACAAAGTAAACAAAAAAAAAAATTATAAAAAAAAATAAAATAAAGAAGAAAAAAATAGAATAAATAAAATAAAATGAAATAAAATAAAACAAAATAAAATAAAAGAAAATAAATAAAATAAAATAAAATAAAATAAAATAAAAGAAAATAAATAAAATAAAATAAAATAAAATAAAATAAAATAAAGAAGAAAAAAATAGAATAAATAAAATAAAATGAAATAAAATAAAATAAAATAAAATAAAATAAAATAAAATAAAATAAAATAAAATAAAAAAGTAAAGTGAAATACAATAAATAATAAATCAAGTTAAAGCAAAAAATTGAAAATGATTTAAAAAATATATAACAAAATAAAACGATAGAAAATTAAAAAAAAATTAAATAAAGTAAAATAAAAAAATTTTAAATTAAATTTAAAAAAATAAAAACCATAAATCAATATAAAATAATATAAATAAAATTAAATAAAACAAAAGAAAATCAAATGATATAAAATAAACTGAAATAGTATAATTTAACCGATATAAAAATAAAATGAAATAAAAATAAATAAATTGAAATAAAATAAAATTAAGTGAAACACAATAAAAAATTAATTAAATTTAAACAAAAAATTAAAAGTGAGTTAAAAAATATAAAACAAAAAATGAAATAAAATAAAATAAAGTGAAATGCAATAAAAAATTAATTAAATTGAAAGATATAACACAAAATAAATGATATTAAATAAAATAAAATAAAGTGAAATACAATAAAAATAAATAAAGTTAAAACCAAAAATTAAAAGTGAATTAAAAAATATAAAACAAAATAAAACGATAGATAATTAAATAAAATGATATAAGGTAAAATAATATGAAAAAAATTAAATTAAATAAAAATAAATAAATAGAAACAAAGTAAAATAAAATAAAATAATATAAAGTGAAATATAATAAAAAAGTAATTAAATTAAAACAAAGAGTCAAAAGTAATTTAAAAAAATAAAATAAAAAATATAACACAAAATAAATAAAATAAGATAAAATAGTATAAAATAGAATAAAGTAAGGTATAATAAAAATAATAAAAACTACATAAAATAAAATAAAATTCGTGCAGATAGGAAAAAATATTTAGAATGGATACCATTTGTTTATTATTGTTTAGTTAAATTGTAAGTAAAATAACGCCGAATCTACCTTCAAATATTTTTTCAAGTTTTTTCTAATTTTGCCATAAAGTGAGTGAAGAATAATTTCACATGAATTCTCTAATAATTCGTTTAAAAGTATGTATTGAAGTAGATTTTAGCTCTCTAGCAAACAAATATTTAAATTAATTTCCGTCATTAATCATTACGTGCTGATCCATGAAACAGTTTAGGAAATCTCTTGTGTCATTCGCTTAATGATAATGGCATGATTTCAAACAAAAAAAAAAAAAGAAAAAAAAAAACCCAACACAAATCGGACTTTTATGAAAGGAATAAAAACGAAGCGACGCCTTAAAGACACAAATCGAGTCAGCAACATTTATAAAAGCGGAAATTATCCATTTGATTGCATTAACGTACGCACGCCATCAACACGTGCATATGTACAATTATATATGTGTAAGTATGTCAGTCTGTGCAGCCAGTTACCCACCTGAATCATCCGAACCAAGACTGGTGAGGTCCTCACGTTTCTTACTGCTACTGCTGCTGCCGCTGCTGTTGTTACTGCTTGTGTTGTTATTGTTGCCGTTGTTGTGATTACTACAGGATGCCGCACCTGCAAGCGACGGCGTCACACCACAACGTGCCGCAGATGCCTCACTCGATTTCGGACGTACACGCAACGTTGGGCAGGACTCGACTACAGGATAAAATTATGGAATGAAAATAAAGCAAAGAAATTAAAGATGGATATAATTAAAAAATAGGCTCACTAATGAGACTTGCACTAAGTAAATATTATGTATGTACATATGTATGTAAGTTGACTTAACATACCAACTGCTATGGCACCACCACCAGCAACACCAACCACACCACTGCTGCTACAGCCAATGTTGTTAATGCTATTGATGTTATTGCTATTGCTTGCTGTGGGCTCTGTGGTCATAGCTGCAATGGGGCCAACCGATGTGGAGTCCATTAAACCACCTGTTATGGTCGACACTCGTGCAGGGGTGGCTAGCAATGATGATGATGGTGGTGGCGGTGAAGGTGAAGGTGTCAACGATGACGTCAGCGCTGGTGTTGTTGTAGTCGTTAAGGCGGCTGTTACATTTGCTGCAGTCGTGACGATTTTCGAGCACATAGTAGTGCCCAAAATGGATGGTGTGCAGAATGTATTCTCACTCTCCGAATTGGGTGATGAAACTTCAACCTGTTGGAAATAGAGATAGAAAGAATGAAAATAAAGGAGGAATGAAAACGATCAAATTAATGACAAGCAATTTTAGTGAGACATTAAATGAGTATTACAAATAAAGTATTGTTGAATTCAATGGCATAAAAATAACCTAACAAATTCTTTTTGAGACTTAACGATATTGGTAAATTGGGTGAATGGTGTAGTAGATGTTTGTATGGGGTAAGGTAGTTAACCCATTGACGTCATTGAAGTGATATTTCGAGTTCTAAGCAAAGTGTTTCCATAAAAATATATGTATGTATATAATCTTTGTTCTGTATATAAATTCTCGGGCATTTCGAAAACACTTTGTTTAAATAAAAAAAAGTAAATAATTTTTTTTCGCACAGCCAATAACTGTGTTAAGACTGAGTAAATACTTTTTACTGTAAAATTATAATATTTGTAAACATATGCGTTAAACCGCTGGATATAAGGAGAGCACAAAAATAATAAATAAATAAAAAAATAAAGTAAAATAATAATAATAAATGTACATATGTAGGTATGCACATATGTATGTACATATGTTAAAAGAAGCCATACAGATACAGCGACGAAGTATGAAATTTGCACAAATATAGCAAAAAAATAATGTATCATTTAAAAACATTCACCTTTCTACTATTACGAAAAAGCTATTTAAATAGCTGAATCGCTACAAGCTTCTAGAAGCGTTTTGGAAATGATTTTACATTGGGGATTTTGCATTTGAGACATAAAAAAGTATTTTCTTATTTTTGTTTTATGATTTAAAATAAAGGAAGTAACATAAACAAAAAACTGAAAAAAAAACTAAAATAAAATAAAATTAAATTAAATTTCATGACGTGATAGAAATAGAATGATAAAATATAATATAATATTGATTTTGAAATAAAGTAAAGTCAAATGGAATAAAAAATTAAAATTTGAAATAAAATGAAATAAAATTAATTTAAATTAAACGAAACGAAAAACAATAAAAAAAATACCAGGATCGAGTCCTGGGCTTTGTTAAACAAAAAAACTAAAGTAAAATTAAATTTCATGAAGTAAAAGAAATAGAATGATAAAATATAATAATGAAAAACCATGAAACATTTTTTTTTTAATAAATTAAAATCAATTTGAAATAAAATTAATTTAAATGCGATAAAATGAAACGAAAAAAAAACCAAGGATGGAGCCCTGGACTTTGCTAGTACGCAATGCTAACCACTCGTCAAAACAAAAAAAAACAAATACAAAAAAACAAAAACAAAAAGTTAAGTAAAATGAAATAATATAGAATAAAAAAATAATAGAAAATAAAATTAAATTTTTTTTGCTAATGGAAATTTTCTAGAAAGAAAAACAAAAAGTTTCATTGAAAAATTATTTTATTTGCAGCAGCCAGGAACAGATTGCGCAAGAGAGTATGTTTTTTCTGGATAGCCTTATCTTCCGTGGCATCAAGTTTGTTATATGTACGATATCTATGTAAATATTATATCATCTTAAGATTTCCCTTGAATGTATTACATCTGATATTACATAACTAGCTATTTAGTTACATAATCAATAGGAGTAAAAATAAAAATTATTTTTGTACATGTCTCAGATGTAGCTCAATTTCATTTGCTGCTTCACAGATACAGATTAAATTTCCTATTACCATGCTTAATACTCGCTGCTTAGGCGTGTATCTTGCCATTTGTAATTTGAGATGTCCATTCGAGTTGAAGTAAAGTACGTAAATGGTTGCGTGTCATGTGCGCCTACGCAAGGCATGGTTTCAAATGTTTCCTGTGAGGCAGGTTCATGTTCGCTCAACCGGAGATGTAATCATGTTTGACATTTTAAGTTTATTTTTTCTTTGTGTTTGTGTGTATGTGTTTTTTAATACTTATTCAATACTTATTTTTTTTGCAAAAAAAAAAACAAAAAAAAACATTTCAACTCACCTCCGGTATGCGCTGTAAAGCGCTGTCCAGACTACGATTTCGATGATGCTGTGTTAAGTTAATGCGTGTATTGGTCACCTGCGAGACGGGTGGCAATAAAATGCCCATTGACCTGAGAGAAGAATAAATATTCAAAAGTTATTATGCTGTTTTTTTGAAAGAAAGTTTGTAAGTAATATAAAAAAAGTTGAAAAGTTTTATTAATTAATAAAATTGAATATATTAAATTATTTACGCAATTTTTGGCTTATAAAATTTAAAAAATGTATAGAAACATCCTGTATGCACATATAACAATGGTTTTCAATACTTAAAGTTAACGAATTTGAGTTAATACATTTAAGAATTTTGGAAAAGTGTTTGAATTAATCAGCAGAATTTTAGAGCACACTGTATTATTTAAGACCTTTGGTTATCAAAGAAATGAGTAAAAAAATATATATTATATAATAAAAAAATACTTTGTAATTTTCTTGGAAGCTCATTAATATTATCTTTAACTTCGTGTCTTTCTTATCTCATATTTATTTATTTTCATTTATTTTAATTATATTTTTCCCTTTTATTAAATTCCATAAAACAATTAATTTTAGTATTTTTTCCCCCATTTTTATTTTATTCATTATTATTTTATTAAATTGTTTTAGATTTCAGTTAAGATTTTTATTAATTTTTTATTACTATTTTTATATAAATTATTATTTTTTTATAAATTTAATTTTTATATTTATTTATTTTTATTTTTTTTTGGAAGCTCATTAATATTATCTTTAACTTCGTGTCTTTATTATCTCATATTTATTTATTTTCACTTATTTTAATTATATTTTTCCCTTTTATTAAAATCCATAAAACAATTAATTTTTATTTATTTTATTTTTTACCATTTTTATTTTGTTCATTATTATTTTATTAAATTGTTTTGGATATCAGTTAACATTTTTACTATTATTTTTATATAATTTTTTATTTTTATAAATTTTATTTTTATATTTATTTATTTTTATTTTTTTTTTAGAAGCTCATTAATATTATCTTTAACTTCGTGTCTTTATTATCTCATTTTTATTTATTCTCATTTATTTTAATTAAAATTAAAATTTCCCTTTTATTAAATTCCATAAAACAATTAATTTTAATTTATTTTATTTTTTACCATTTTTATGTTATTCATTATTATTTTATTAAATTGTTTTAGACTTCAGTTAACATTTTTATTAATTTTATATGATTTATTTTCATTTCATTTTGGTTTTAATTTTTTTTTTAATCATGCAGTATTGTATGTTCATTAATTTTTTTTTTAATTATTTTTAAATTTTTTATTTTATTAATTGCTTATTTTTGCTTAATTCTTTATTTATTTTTTTTTTTTTTTAATTTCTTTTACATACACACACACACAATATTTTTACTACTTCCACTAGAAACGTTCTCGAGTCAACGATAACTACTTTTTGGTGCCATGAGTAGATAACTTTATTTTCATGGAAAAGGGAGAAAATCTGTGCGTTTCTAAATATATTACAAACCAAATCAACGAGATTGCAGGCACTTATCGCAATTCAGACTAATCAACAACCTTGAGTGCAGTATAATGCAAAATTCACGTGAATTACCAAGAAAATTACATATGTACAAATATATAAAATTCTGTGAAAATAATATAACAAACAAAGTATATAATTTTGGAGGAGAAGAAGATTTCGAACAGAAAACTAAAAATAAAAACTAATTAAAAAAAAATAATTATTTTGAGGAATTTGAGGAAGAATTTTAAATTTTATCACCGTAAAATGCTAATGATTTTACATATGGTTTAGTACTTAAGTACACTTGTACACGTTATACATACAATATGCATATTTAGATTTTATCTATGACAAAAAAAGTACTATAAAAACGTGTCGTCGTACCTTTTAAAAATCAATAACACTGTGTATAGGTAAGTATAACATATTTACTGCTCTAATTGCATTATAAACGTACATATGTATGTGCCACAGTATATTTTTTTAATGCCACATATGTTTTTATGAAATATTTCAAACTGGTTTAGCGGCTTCTAAAGCCCATTGCAAAACACACACACATACATACATGCATATGTATGCCAGCAACACTATCTACAATAACACAAGACTTTGTTATTTAATCTTTTCTTGCCATATTATTGTATACTTCGCTATATATACATGCGTACGTACACTCGCTATACCTACATACATATATATGTACATTTGCTTATTGTTTTATTGTTGGCGTTAATCAGCTGTATTGCTGCTAGAAATGATTAATATGTAGTTTAAATAATTTTTTTTATAATTTTTGCAATCGCCACTTTTGCTCACTCCCCAATTTTTATTGTTTTTTCGCTTTGATATTTCCATCTCTACTTATGTTTCTATTGCATTCTTTGTTGTTCTTATTAATATTATTTTATATTGTCGCAGCGCAATATGGCGCAGCCGGCCGTGGCTGATAGGACGGCACGAGAAAAAAATTCCCGATTGCAAAGCTTATTTACTCATTCAATTACTGAGTGTAGATTTTTTGGGTATTTTCCCCGCAGACGTCATCGTAATTGCAGATAAATATATGTAGTTGGAAAAATAGCTTTGAATTCAATGTGAAATCAATTTTCAGCAGCGAATGAAGCAAGTTGATGGTCAAATTAAAATAAATACAATATGTACATATGTACATACGATTAAAGTGCTCTTGCTTTATTAACTAGCACACGAGTAGCGAAAAATCAGCTGATTAAATCACAAACTCACACTCAACTCACTAATTTTTTCAGTCACTGTTTTTAATCTCACATTTGCATGTTTAATAACCTCAAAAGTCTGCTGTTTGTCTGTTGTTGTTGTTGTTTTTCGCTGTATAATTTAATTACAATTAAAACTATTAAAATTCCTTACTTCACTACACTTCAGCACTTTCTCGCTCGATATGTTTAGTTTGTTGATTGCTTTTCTTTTCTTTTCTATTCTTTTTTTCTCTAATGTACAATATATATGTCTGTATGTATATATAATATTATTTTCTGCGTTCGATTGCCCGTTTGCCCCAAAAAATACAAACTTGGAGGTTTCACGCTTGCTGACTAACTAAATACGGCGCCAGAGTAATTGTCGGCGGCAAAAAGCATATGATTGAGTAAGCACAAAAGTAAGCAGAGACATTGCCAACAACGAGTACACCACCACAGGTAGAGAAATGGCGGTGTGTGACTATAGAGTAGAGCTTACGAAAGAGCATAGCAGTGTTTTTCGGAGAGTAAGTGAGCGAGCGCATGAGCGTATGAGTGAGTGTACTAAAAACCACTGTTGGCTGTTAGCTGGCGGTGGGTGGCTGATTCGTTAGGTGAGTGAGGGGAGCGGGGCTAGTTGGGTGGCTTGGCAAATATACAATACATATTTACACGCTTGTAGGTGCTTATGGTATTTGAAACGAAAAACTTCGACTGCAAATAATAATAAAAATAATAATAATAATGCAAAAGAATATACAATATGTAAAACCAAATAAAAGAAGAACAAGAAACAAAACAGTAAACATGTGTAAAATACTTGTACGCAAACGCTGGTAAATAATCGCTTTTTTTTCAGATAAAAAAAAAACAATTAGCGTTTTGTGCATATTTTTGTATGTGCGAAAAACGATGGCGAAGTTGAGAATAAGAAAAAATATGCGGATACACGAGTAAGTCACCGAAGAAAAACATATGCATAAACACTGAGCTATAAAATAATAATAATAAGAAAATATAAAATAATTATAGAAAATAGTTTAAATTTAAAATTCAAAACAAATAAAAATTTATTAATTACATATATATATATTTATATATATATATTAGAACCTTAAAAATATTTTCCAAAAGGTTGTATTATTTAACAAAAAAAAATTAGTTGAACTTAAAAATTACTTGCATGAAATCTGATTAAATTTTCTTAAAATGACTAAATTATTTGAAATTAATGAAATATTTTTAAAGTGATTAAATTATTTTTAAATTATAAAATTCTAATTTAAACTATTTAAAAAAAATAAGTATAAACAAAACTTTGTAATAATAGTGGGGGGAAGATTTGAAAAAATTATTTGAAGAAAAAAAATGATTTAAAAAAAAAAAAATAAAGTTACAAAAAAACCGAAGATATGTTGACAAAAAAAAAATTAAAAAGAACATTCTTAAATACATATAAATATTTTATAAATTACTTTAATAACAAAAACGTAAAATAGGCAAGGTAAAAAAGGCAAATTAAATGTAGAAAAAAAAAACAGAAAAAGTGAAGCAAATTAATATAAAATTAATTATATCAATTCGATAGAGAAATTAAAATTTACTTCGCTTGAATAAACTAAAAAAGGATTAAAGTAAAATAAGAAAATAAATATTTCATTACTTTTTCAATAAACAGGCTTTTTAGCTTTAACTTTGTTTAAGTAAACTAAACTAAAGTAAGTCATTTATGTAAAAGAAAAAAAAATTATTATTTTGACACGATAATTAGTTACAAAAATAAAATTTACACTCTATAAAACATTAAATTAATTTATTAATTTTGTTTTAATAAACTAAAAACTTAATAAAATTGTAAAAAAAAAAATTGTGTGATATATTAAAGTTTTCAAAAAAAAATTTTTTTTCTTCGAAAGCATAAAATCTTAAAAATATTCTCTAAAAATTTGAAGTTATTCGGCAGTTAAAGAAATGCTCATTTAATCTTTAAAGGTATTTCTGTTTTTCGCAATTAGTTTTTGTTAACTGATGACCACAGCAGCGGCAGATTTTAATAAAATTTATGAAGTTCTTTGCAAAAAGTAATGCCTCATCAAAATGATTTCTCTAAGTTTCCATTTAAATAACCGATCAAATCTTTTTTTAACTTCAATATTCCTGAGTTCTCCATATTGCTAATTAAAAAAAAATAAATAATTTATTTGGGATGCATATTCCATTTTTCAAATTTCCACACTCGAAACATATTCTTACTTTTAAGGAATAAAATGATGTATTTGATAAACAAAAATGTTTTTTTTTTCGTACCTCCGACTACTTCTTAAATAAATAACTTACAAAATAAGTAAAATTTACAA